TGGGGGCCGAGGCACTGGATGCCCAGAGAAGGGAGGCCAGGGGGTTGAAGGAGAGGCAGAGGAAGACAAAGGTGCAGAGGGCCATGCGGGAGCGGTCCAGCATGCCCTGGCTGCTGGGTGAGGGAGGTGGGCGCTCCTGCTTCACCTGGGTGGGCAGAGCTGCCATGAGCACCAAGATACAGGCATGGGATACAGGGCATGGGATATAAGGTGTGGGATATTGGGCACAGGTACAGGCATGCGGCACAGGGCATGGGTCACGGTGATGTGGGACCATTACGGGATTCAGGGCATGGAGTGCAGGGTATAGCCATGAAACATGGGGCACAGCACATTTTGGGGTACAGAGCATGGGGCACAGGTGCAGCAGCCCACTGCACCCCACAACACCCTTGCACCACTCCCTCCAGCCCCAAATTGGGCTCCTTCTGGGAGCAAAGTTGGAACTCCCAGCTCATATCCCCATTTCTCTGGGCACCCCCGGGGTGATGCAGCAGATGCTCCACCACACTTGGGTAGAGGGGATCCCCTGTAGCCCCCACACACCTTGCCGTGGTCACAGAGGGGACTGTCAGGCTCCGAGTCGCTGCTGCTGTTGCCGCTGCCCCCGCTGAGCGAGAGGGGGCTGCTGTGGGTCGGGGACCCCACGTCTGAGGGTGGCGGTGTCAGCATCTCCATCACCTCTGCTTTCACCACCTCGGCAGAGGCCTCTGCCTTGTCCCCCTTGCTGCAGGAGCTGACCAGGTCCTTCAGGGACTCTGTGGGGAGCAGAGCGGGCTGAGGGGCTCTGGGGAGGGGTACAGCAGCCCTGCAGCTGAACCTGCCACCCTGAGACCCCCCCTTCCACTCACGGTTCTTCTGCATGGCCATCTTCAGGGTGAGGTTCTCCTGCTTCAGCTTCTGGTTGCTCTGCTGCAGGAAGCGGATGTACTCGATGGCCTTCCTCAGGATGGCTGACTTGTTGAGCTGCCGGCGGCGCGGGGACGGTTCAGCCCACCCGCTGGGCACAGCCCCCCCCCTTTGCCCACCCTTACCCCACCACCCCCGCCGGCTCCCACCTTGGCCTCGGTGCCCACCACCAGGTCCTTGAGCTCCACGATCTTGTCGTTGATGGAGGAGCGGTAGCGCTTCTCGATGGCGTTGTGGGCCGTGCGCTTCTCGCCCCGGCTCTGCACCAGCGCCGGTTTCCCGCTGGGCGCCAGACGGTTGATGGGCAACTTCTCGGCGTCCACCACCAGCGGCACCGTGGCCAAGA